TCTTTGTTTTTCATTATTTTCTGCTTTGATAAACATTCCCTTTTTCTGTTTAATGATTTACTTTTGTATCTTGTAGGATATACATGTTAGTTTTGTATTTAGTTTTCTAAGTCTTTTGCTTGACTTAAGCAAAGATTTTATATATATAAGTGGACATATAGTTCTAGCCCACAAATTGCAAAATATTTTTATAAATCTATATTCAAATTGGTCAACTAATTTATTTTGGCTGAGATGAAAGCACTTGAAAAGAAAACTGTTTGAACAGGCTTTATTACCTCATGTAGAGTATATTGTAGGTGGAGATGTGAAAATTAAACATAACTGTCCCTAAACAAAAACATTTCAAAAAGGCTAGCTCGATAGTAGTAATGTAACAATTATGGGCTTGGGATGTTCTGTAGAAAGAGTTTAAGGTGAAGAAGTTAATTGAAAACATTATCATTGATATCTAATGGTTGCTGCTCATTCTCTAAACTTCTTTTAAATTCCTACATAGAACAAGAAGCAAAGGAAAAAGAAAAATCAAAAGAGGCAAGTAACAAACTTTGATTTTTCACTCAGCATTTCTTCCTAGTAAAAGTACAAATATATAGCTTAATTGACAAAATGTTCTTTATCAAACACCTTGAAAGATAAAACAAAAGAGAATTTGTAATGTTTTAGGCCAGCGGTTCTCAACCTGTGGTTTGCGACCCTTTTGGGGGGGTCTACTGACCCTTTCACAGGGGTGGCCCGGTTCATGACAGTAGCAAAATTACAGTTATGAAGTAGCACCAAAAATAATTTTATGGTTGGGGGGGTCTCCACAACATGAACTGTATTAAAGGGTCATGGCATGAGGAAGGTTGGTTGAGAACTACTGGTTTAGGCTTTTCTGAGAAAACTCACAATGAAATCCTTCTATTTACTTTTAGATTTTTTTTTTTTTTAATCTATAAAAGATGTGTCTGGAAAAGCTCAGTAGTGTGACAGCAATCTCTGCCTGCCATCAGTGGTTCTGTCTATGTAAATTTCAAAACAGTTATAGTAAGGACCTTTAAAATGTTTCTGCTGAACTGTCCCCATCTCCTGTGAATAAATCAGATGAGCTGTGTGTATAAATAACAAAGTACCAAACTGCAAGCATCTTCAAAGCAGGGACTGTCCTTTATCTCTAACCCACAGTGCAAAGCAGAAACCCAGGCAAACTGTAGGCTCTTCATAAATGTTTACCGACAAATTAACTGTAGAGCTATTGTGAAATAGAATGATTCCTCAGGTTGCCTTATCACAATGTGCACAGGCCTGTGTAGTTTTAAGGTCGACATTCCCCAACGTACTTGGCCTACTCGGCCCTTTTCAGGGGCGGGGAAATTACTCAGCATCTCCTGTATCCCCGATTCCTGGATGAAGTATAGGAATATGCTGTCACAGGCCTTCCCCTACCCTAAACGTTTCAGTGGACCCCAGAGGGGGAAGTTTCACCCACTTTGGGAAACACGGGTTTAGAGAATGTTTTAGTATTCCAAAGAATTTCCCTAGGTAACACAAACTGTTAAGCAGTGAACTAGAAGCTGAAAAGGTTGATGGTTCTAATGCACCCAGAAGTGCCTCGGAAGACAAACCTGGCAATCTACTATAATCATCAGTTTTACTCCATACACGTGGGGCACCAGTGGTCATAATTAACTTGTTGGCAACTAACAACAATTTCCACAAAGTTTTTACCAACTTACTGAGAGGATACTTCTCTAAGTGGTTTAATAGAACAATGGTTTTACTAGAAGTAACGTGAAGGTAGCTGAAAGCCTTGCAAAGCACTTAGAAAGGTTGCCTTTATCTAAAAAGGGTGGCTTTGGGGTAATTGATAAGCTAAACAAAGACACATATCATTGCTATCTTAAAAGATTTTAATTTTACAGACTGCCTTTGAGATAAAATATTTATTTACTGTGACTCTGGAGGATAGCAAGATGGAATTCAAAGTGTGAAATGATAAAGGAAGAGGATGAAAAGAGTAAGGAAAGAAAAGTAACATTTATTGAGCCCCAGTTTATAAGCCAGACACTGTGCCAGGCATGTAACAAAAGGTAATGCTTGATTCTCCCAACAACCTTAAGTGTGTATTATTATTCTACTCTTACAGGTGACAAGAATTGAAATTTGGTCAAAACTAAAGCTAGGAAGTGTCAACGCTTGGATTTGAATGCAGGGGTTTTTTATACTAGACACTAATTGAAAATAACATTCAAGAAAATGTCAAAATGTTTTTTTCCTGGAAACATTTATTTATTGCCTGCATTGGACATAGCACTTACAGAGTATCAAAGTGATGTAAGATGAGATTCCCTACCTCCAAAGAGCTTTCATGGAGAGACTAGTAGCATTATCTTTTTAAAATTGCCCTCACTAAGTTCATGTGTTGAGTACCATATATACTCAAGTATAAGCTGACCCGAATATCAGCCGAGGCACCTAATTTTACCACAGAACTTGCATTAAAAATGTGCTGGAAAAGCTCGGCTTATACACGAGTATATACGGTAGGTAGATGTAGCTGACATTCCTTATTAATCCTTACCTTCTGAGGCTATATCCTTGGCTAGATTTATTTAAGATTGGTATGCTAAGAAGGATAATAACAGAGAAGAAAAAGACACAGTGAATCAGAAGTGCAGATTCCTGTGTGACTATGTAGCCCCGCTATTGGACAGATCAGATATCAAACCTCTAGAAGCTACACTGACACAGACAGTAACAGGTTTTAGTGAAGAAAGCTCTGACCCATCTAGTATAGTAAGTTTTTATATTTTATCTTAGTTTTCTTTGGCACTGTTGAAAATAGTTCATATTTTAGCCCTATATGTAAATGTACATTTGCTTTGTGTCTTAATTTTAATCCTGTGAAGTTTTTGTTTTTGCTCTATTGAACTAGTGAGCTAAATGAGCTCTGAAAATAAGCATTGGCTCAAATGACAAATTTGTGAATAACAAGTATTGGAGTGCTTATAGAAAATACAGGAAATGTTACTTTTCCATTTTATAAATTAAAATGCAGTTTTCTTTCAGAATAATAAACTTACTATTTCCACCATCTTCACTCCCACCTCTGCTTCTAAAGAAAAGTCTGTCTTGTGCTCTCTTCTTTTTTTTAAGATTCCCACTAAAAATATTGAAGGTCAGATGACACCCTACTATCCTGTGGGAATGGGAAATGGTACACCTTGTAGTTTGAAACAGAACCGGCCCAGATCGAGTACTGTGATGTATATATGTCATCCTGAATCTAAGCATGAAATTCTTTCAGTTGCTGAAGTCACAACTTGTGAATATGAAGTTGTCATTTTGACACCACTCTTGTGCAATCATCCTAAGTATAGGTAGGATGTGGATTTAATATTTTAAACATAAAACGCACACATGCTTGAAAATTTTATGCACATGCTTGAAAATGTTATGTGCTTAGGTTTAACACTTTGTTCTTATTGAATAGATTCAGAGCATCTCCTGTGAATGACATATTTTGCCAGTCACTACCAGGGTCACCGTTAAAGCCCCTCACCCTGAGGCAGCTGGAGCAGCAGGAAGAGATACTCAGGGTGCCTTTTAGAAGACATAAAGAGGTATGAGAATTATTAATAATATTTTCTCAGTGCTTTGTTTTCCAAATGTTTGCCATATTTTCATGATTTCTCTAGTGTCTCACTGCTGTCGAGTCAATTCTGACTCATAGCGACCCTGTAGGGCAGAGTAGAGCTGCACCTGTGGATTTCCAAGCTATAAGTCATAACAGAAGCAGGAAGCCTCGTCTCCTGCGGAGGGGCGGTGGTTTCAAACTGCTGGCCTATGGTTAGCAGCCCAGTGAATAACCGAGTAAGCTACCATTTATTTTCTTGATTCAAATTCCTAAATTCTCATTCTTTGTTTCCTTATTCAGGCACTTTGAGAAAATATGTTAGCATCCCTTTATTCACTGTATAATTTTAATAATAATCTCAAGTTTTATATCCTTTTCATTGTGATTAGGCTTCATTTTTTTTTTTTGGCTCTTTTCAGTTTATTGCATGAAGGAGTTACACTAGTCCAAGTTAAATGTGGACCCCAAATGGTTACATCATACAAGCTGTGAGGTTTTAAACTTGTGACAAGGGACAGAGGGAATTTTACTACTCATTGCAAGGAAATCCTCACTTAAGCTTCCGTGAGCCACAAGCACTTAAAACCCATGAACCTTCAGCTGGTCGTCCTGAGCCAGTCCAATCTCTACAGGAACTGGCCTATGTTCTTGCGCTGGTCGCCCTGGAGCTGAATCACCTCTCCATATTCTGGATGCTCAATCACAGTGCCATTGCAGGCAAATGTCTTCTTAAAGGCCTTCACTAGTTTCTTTTTGTCGTAGTCATCAGCGATCCCTTGGACAGTGGTAAGGGTCTTCCTGCCGTTGCGCTGTTGAATTCTTATATGGATATAATCCTCTGTCCCCGCAGGCAGCAGGTCATCACCCTTACCTGCATCAGCAAAGGGGTTGAAAGAGTGGAGGTTCTGGATAGCGGACATACGATACGATTCCTTTTCCTCGGTGGAAACGGCCTGCGGAAGGCGGCGGCTGGAGAAGGCGGGCAGGGGGGACTGAGCGTCGGGAAGCGAGGGGGCTCGAGGGGGAGGCTGCTGAGTCCTCAGCGGCACAGCAGCTCAGTGACTGGGGCCGATTAGGCTTCATTTTTGATTAGTTAACTGGCCTTCCCAGCTCAGCCTATAGAAAGCATAGGCTATATCCGCTTTTTATCATCTAACAATGCATTTATTCCTTAGCTTGTCACTATTTGTCATCAGATCTTCATTCTTCTTAAACTGTTATTATGTCAGCAATAATCTTGTGGCTCCAAATTCGTTGAATATATACCTTATTTGAGCTTAGCAAACATTCGAAGCTTGGCTTGTTCTGCTTTCAGATCACTGTTCTGTCTGATTCTTATTCACCTGTGTACTAGTCGGCTTTTATTTTTTCTTTGAACAGTTTTATTGGCACTTCATCCACGTGTCATACAGTTCAATAGTTGAGATCAAGTTGTACAGTCATTTTTAGAACATCTTTTCCCCGTACTCATTGTCACTCATGTCTTTTTTTTTTTTTTTTCAGTTTTGTCGGAAATATATACAACAAAGCATTCACCAAGTCAACAACTTCTAAATGTATATTTCAGTGCCATTGATAACACTCTTAATGTTATACAACCATGTACTAGTTCTTTCCTTATTCTCTACCCATAACAATTCTGAGGTTCCCTGATTCTATCCATAATCCTGTCACCTTAGTGTGAACAGACTCCCTAATGAGCTGATCCATGACCTTTTCTTTTTTTTAATTGGGTGAGGGGCTACACAGCAGATCATTTTAATATTACCAATGGTCTCATACAATATTCTTTGACGTTGCAAAGTATTCCCTTGTGTGTCTGTACCAAAGTTAGTTTTTCCATTCTCTCACCTATAGGCATGTAGGTTGTCTCTTTTTGCTTTGTGACTAGTGCTGTAATGAACCGTCATATCATGGCTTCTCTTTCTCTAGGACATAACCAAGTAGGAGGATTGATGGGTCATAGGGCATTTCCAACTTTTTGAGGGGGGATATTTTGCCTTAATGCAATGGTTTTCAACCTTCCTAATGCCACGACCCTTTAATACAGTTCCTCATGTGGTGACCCCACAACCATAAAATTTTTTTCGTTGCTACTTCATAACTGTAATTTTGCTACTGTTATGAATCAGGCGACCCCTGTGAAAAGGTCGTTCGACCTCCAAAGAGGTAGCAACCCACAGGTTGAGAACTGCTGCCTTAATGCTTTCCACAGGGGTTGTCAATAGTGTCTTTTTACCTAATTTTAAGTATCATACCACCACACCTTTCCCAAGTCTACATGCTTACACCTAGACATAACACTCATACATGGCATGCGCATAAATCACAAAATATTAGCTACTCCGGTTTCAAGTATTAATCATGGGTGTTTTTTTCTCGTGTAGTCTTCGAGATTAAATTCTTGGTCAATGTATTTGAATCACTTCTCCTCCTGTGACTGCTATTTTCTGAACCCTTATTGTGTGTCTTCCATCCTAAATTGCAAGCTCCCCTAGGACAACAATTGGATCCTGTCACATCTGAATAATTAGTTATGAATTTTCC